AGGCCTGCAATAGGATTAAGACTTGAAGACAAAGGCGATACATCCCCACAAAACCATCCAAGGAGCAACCACTCAGAATTATATCAGAATGAAAACAAACTCGACTCACGGCATTACTAACAGCCTGAACGCTGGATATTAAATGAAAAGGTTTTGTTTGGGAAGGATCTCAATCTCAATTAAAAGAGACACGCTAATTGAACCAAAAGATAAAGGTAACCTTGAGCTACCAGATTGTGAGATTGTTACTAAATCTCTGCAATTCGCTTGGGTGAAAAGAATGGAAGAAGAGATAAAACCCAGTGGATGGAAATCCCATCCTCTTACCCAGAACATGTTTGTGGTCCCTCAATAACCAGACAAACAAAAGAACCGGTTCCAGTCACAGACAACATATCGTGTCTCGAATTGTATATATTTGACTATGATTATGATCTACGCCTTCATACTCTATTCTTCATATTCTAGCAGTATGGCAGCTTTCTACGTCTGATATTCGCAAAGCCTGAACTGAAGCTCAGGAATTGTGCACAATAGATTTTGATCAAAATAACATAGGATTATGTCAGAATGTGATTGGGAACTCGACTATCGACTTTACTAACAGTCAAATATATTAAATGAAAAGGACTTGTTTGGGAAGGATCTCAAAGGCAAATGTCTTTTGTCTTCCAATTCTGTCAAAAGGTGGTTGGTATTATTGTAGCCTAAAAGAGCGCCTAGAAAAGCAAAGACAAGTCAAGCCACTTCCCTAGTCTTCAATCTTTGTCATCCTCCTGTCAAAACAAATCAGTGCATGCCGTGACAACCAATCACAAATCACTGCTTGAACGCTAATTTGCTTTGCTTAGACAACCAGCAAGGAAAACAACGAACCATTGAAAATAAGATTTCCGATATGGCGTTTTGCGTAACCGTAACCCACAGGAAATATTGAATGATGTCAATTGGATTCACTGTTAGACGAGGTAAAAGAAAGGTTACAGGATTTGAAGTGGTGAAGAGCTATTAATTAGCAAGGCCGCCTCTTTAAAACGGGACTACAGGTGAGATAAATTTATAGGCCCCGAGAAATATTCCACAAGGACGGGTGAACATGGGTGATTCAAGTAATAAGTTCATGAACTATATCGGAGTCTAGGAACTGACAAGAATATCATAACGGACTTTGAGAATGAAATGATGTTTTCTTTTCGCTGGGAAGCTTGTCTCTTGGGGGCCTTTCAGATTACTTGAATGTTTAGTTAAACAACCTCTGTTTAATTTGGCGCTAAATGAGTCAATACTAGTTACGTCAAGTTTCCCGTTCTATTTAAGTCCCTTTGTTCATTCATACCCTTGATGCAATGTATGGTTTTGTTGCTTCAGTACTTTCTTACAAGTGTTAATCCCCGCCTTAATAAACAACAACGGTGCAATTGACGAGCAGACGCCGAACAAAGGAAATCTTCAACACTTATTTAACGAATTGTAATAACCGAGTTTGCTCATCAATTATCCGCTTTAATTCAATTTTTTTAAAAGAAAGTCACAGTTCCTGTTTTTGAGCCCTTCCAGTAACTCATCGTGACACCCGCAACAGTAGGCAGGGTGGCAGTTTTTTTTTCGCCAACAGGTGGCACATGCGATAACCGGTTAGTTCGCGAAAATAACGAGAAGCTTAACCTTAAAATGGCGTTCTCTTTTCTTCAAATTCTTCTAGTATCGCGAATGACCTCGAACGGAAATAAATTGCTAGGTTTTTAACAGTTTTTATTCAAGACTTAATTTTCTGGAGGACAATATAAGCCCCTTGTTTTTGTCACTGAAACTTTGAAATCACAACTTGCAGACTTTGGTCGGAGAATGAGAGAAATTCTATGGGTCTTCGCACTTTTCACGTTTTTTAAGTTCTCAAATGGCCAAGCGTATGGAGGTAAGATGATAAAACTTGAAGATTGTTTTAGTTTACCAGAGAGGCTTATATTTTGTTTTTGTCATTTAAGTAAAATCTTTTATAAACAGAACAAGTTCAAAGTCAGTCGACTCTGTGCAAAGTAATTTTTCTTTAATACCAACACTTATTGGAGACAGTACACGTTGAATAACTGCTTTGAGACATGGTTCTTTAAAGCCTGTTGTCTTTTAAATGGTGCATTGAGATATTTTCAGTCACTAATAATTAAGTAATTGTTGAGATCGCACGGGAATCTGACATGTCAAACAACCATAATGTATTTTGTCTTAGGATAGTAATTCTGCCAGTGACCGTTCTCGGTTGACTTGGAGAAAAGTGATAAGTCAGCTGAGGAAAAATAGCTAAAACGATGATTTTGTCGTATTGCATGCCATTGTGTCCTTGTCAAAATTGCAAGCCTTGTTAGCCACAGACATGCTCCACTGTTTGTTCTGTTTTATAAGCGGAACCAGGCATTGTTCATTTACACGATAATAAAAATGAAATCTCTATCAGCTAACTCAGTCTTAGACTCCACAAGTGACATATTTCATACGAAATTAAGATAGCAAGTCTATAAGAGCCAGTATTAGACAGCTGTGCTTTGTAAGTCTTTGTACTTTATACTTCAGGTTATCAGTACAGGCCGCCGTCTTACCCTTATTTATACAAAATGGCGCCCGTCTACAGCTGGTACCAACGGGATGAAAAACCCGCACCTGCTGTTGAAATGGAACCAAACTCTGAAGGTAACTTTCCCGTTAAACAAATTAACAAAAGTCATTGATTTCTCGGGAATTAGAAATATATGCTAACACTGGAGAAAAAGAACAATACGGAGGGGAGAACGATGGGCGAGGGGGAGGGGTAGGGGTAGGGGGAGGGGAACGGGGAAGGGGATGGGGAGGCGGAAGATTAGCAGGTGGCTAGGAAGGTGATATTACTCTACCCTTTCCATCCCTTTCCTTTTCCCAACCTTTCTCTTGAATCTACTCCAGGCCGCGAACGGGGAGCCTGTTCAAAAGTGAACTAAAAGACTCTTTTACTCTCTTCGCTTGCGATGTTCAAAGGTTAACTATAATATTGGAGGATGTGCACCGTGCATGGCTTAGGTGCATTACGTTGTCCACACGTGTGAGGAAATTATGAACTTATTGGAAACACTCACACGTAGACGACAGAACAAATAAACGTGAACAAATGACAACGTTATCTCAGGGTATTTGGAACGAGTTTTTCTGGGATGGACCAAAACTCAATCAGGCATTTATTTGCGCATGCATTGCTCCTACATGTAAGTCATCTGCAATTCGCAGTTTTGATCCTTTATTTGGGATTGATGGTGTAATTGTCAATCTGTAAGGACTGATTGAAATAACGCCGGAGCTGAACCCTAAACCACAAGAACCACTTACGTGACTGATATGTTAACAATTTTTAGATAATGATAGAATGAAAGATGCGAATGCAGCCATAACACTATTGGAAAAATGACCTGAAAAAATTTTAGGCTCTGAACGGGATTCGAACCCACGACCTTTGTGTTACCGGTGCAATGGTCTACCAGCTGAGCTATCAAAGCCTCATGAGAGCGGTCGCGTGTGGGTTCGGCCCTATATGTTCAATGGACGTAATACTCGGCTCAAGTGTATGAATTCCATGGTAATAGATGTCCAACTGTTGGATGTCTATTACCATGGAATTTTTAGATACTTTGTAACTGACGAGACTAACTTCTCCCACCTGATGACAGAACATGGGACAATGCGATAACACGTGCTATATGTTTTAGAAATGACAGCATTTGAAGTCCAGGGATTATTGTATCACAACCTTCATCGTGAAGTCCATAACACTCCAGACCTTCACCTCGACCACAAGCTTAGCCTTGAGGCTGCCCGTTATGCCAAAGAGATTGCTCAACATTTGGTAGTAAAGCATGCTCCCATTCAAACTCGACCAGGCCAGGCAGAGAACATTTTTCTACGCTGTAAAGCATTCAGCCAGGGAGCGTCTGCTTTTGAAGCAGTGAAAGAATGGTGAGTATGTGAAAAGGTTCATGCATTCTTCGTAAAGAGGGTGACGCTCTGCAAGACCCCTTGTATACCACAGCATTATACTACAATTTCAACACTATGGAATGTATGTATTATACCATCTCATACTCTAACTGATTCCACCTCGTGTAAATGGATAGAGACCTCGGTCATTTGGAATCAATTATAGACTTCTGTAGCGTGCGCCAATTACAAAAGACATCAGCTCTTTACAGTTAAAGGTAGATTTCTGATCATAAAATCCGAATAAATCTATCCAACCTCTTACAGCATCACCAAACGCAGATACGGTGTAATGTTCAGTGCTTAAATAACTGGGTGTCTAAGATGGTACATACAAAAGACAGAGGACAAAAATATTTTCGGGTCTCATAAGGGACAAGGAGAAACACACGAGTTTTGCATTGCTTAGGGCCGATTTACACGGTACGACTTTGTCGCTTGCGACACGCTTACGACAGGCCTACGACATGAATTGTTTCGTGTAAATCAAACCTACAACTCGCTTACGATCGTCGTGTACGTCAAAAAAAAGATGTCGTAGGGGCGGGGCGTAGGGGCGAAGGTGAAGTTTTCTTGCGTCAAAATGGCGGACGAAGTTGTTGTTGGCTGATTCACATGAAGTCGTTTCTCGAAAAGTACTGATTAAAGCGAAAAAAATCTCATTAGAACGTCTTTTCAAAGGGCAGGATAGCTGAAATATCTGTTAACGGTTTGTTAGAACTTTCGCTCCGAAAATCCCGGTGCAAACTTTGCATATTTAATTTTGCAAGTGAAAATGTCGTGCGCGTGTAAACGGTCCAAAGTCATGTCTTAGGCATGTCGTAAGCGTTTCTTATGCGACAAAGTCGTACCGTGTAAATCGGCCCTTAAAGTTACAATTCAATTTGTTGAAGTTATCGTTATTTGTTTATTGTTAGGTACTCTACTGTTTGTCACTGGGATTTTGATAACCCTGTTCCTCTGAACGACAAAGGGAAACCATTCAGTAGACTAGTTTGGCGGTCAACTCAGCAGTTGGGAATTGGGAAAGCAACATTTCCTGTGGACAACTTCAATTGCACAGCCGTAGTGGCAAGATATAGTCCCTACGTAAACACGCAAAATTATGCGGAAAATGTTCAAAAAGGGAAGTTTGTACCTACAGGCTGCCAGTATGTGAATAATGTTGAGAACGAAGATTTTATTTTGCCTCCACAACCTGGAAAAGCTTGTCAAAGAATTTCTGGATTTAAAGGACAAATGTTACAAGAAAGTTCTACATGCACAATTAAACAATTATTTGCAATTTTCGGAGCTTCAGTTAGAAGAGGAAAGCAAGGATTTAGTGTTGTTTTATAAACAGGGCGTAGCAACTGACTGTACCGAACAGTAAAATACTTTAACACAATTGGGTAACAAAGCCTTGCAGAAATTATGATTAATTTTCCCGAAATCGATATAATAATGATATTAGGGTCTCTCCTTCTTGCAAAAACAAATCAAATATATCTAAGTTATAAAATATCAAATTTATTTGTTAATCTAGTAACAATGATATGTCGAGTTAGACGTAGTTCTCTTAGAACAAAGGGAAACTGACTAGAGCTTATCCATGGTCAATTATAGATGAGATTCGTTTCTCAGAATAACAGTTCTGTACTGCATATCAGAATATACAAACAATAGCCCCTATTTCGTGCGAAAATATGCTCGGATGTTTGTCCGTTCTATCTGTTCCGAGAAACGAACAGTTTTCCGAAAGCGTAGCCCGAGGAAAAGTGAGCATATTTTCGCGCCAAGTGGAGGCTATTGTGTTCACTATCATACTTTTCGCAACGTGCGCAGTTTTGAAAATTGAGGAATATCACTCAGGGCATATTTGGTCACATGACGCGCTTAGACCAATCGCACGCAAGCGAAAATATTTGATGGCTTATAAAGAATGATATTTACAAAGTAATGGTAATATGTATTGCAAAATACGTTCACACAATGAATAGTATATTATTGAAATTGAAAAGTTAGCTGGTAGGTTTTACCATCAATTCCTTCGCAAGTAACCACGTGCGTGCGGTACAATTTAATGAAAGAGTTCGTCAATCAAAATGGAAGCTAACGTATTCATCTCTTTTTCTGTCATATAAGGTTAAAATCGAGGTTCGTATGAACAAAGTTAATAGAGGGGAATGTTTATAAAACTCGATAAAGTTCTTTGTTGTACGTTTTTGTTCTCGTTTTTGGTCCTGACCGTGCACAAAACACAATGGTTGTTTACTACTGACCGAGGAACTAACTAATAGAAATATTTTGATTACATAACCATGCATAATGCATGAGGGCGAAACAAAAGATTGTGCGCGGTCGTGGACCCTCCAATATAAATCTTGGCATCTTTGTTTGCTCCTTTGATGTTTGCCGGGCTTCATAACCAGTCCCCTCTATTAACTATGGTATGAACTGTGTCTTTTCATAGACAAGAAATAATAATTAACTTCGTAGGGTTTCTATGATAGAATTGTCGTTCATGTGACTGTATGCTGGAAGTTCTTGTGTGATAAAGTCGGGCTGTAAGGTAATTGCAAACATGACAGTCAAAAGGGACGCAAATATAGCTTATTACACTATTACTTGGCTACATGGTTTGCTATGATGACTGGAATCGTTTTCCCGCCAACGATAACCAGTTTTTACCCCAAAGCTATTTACTATATCATCATTTCCGATATTAAAAAACGAGCAATTATGTACTGCTCCGCTGACGGCGATGGTCAGGCTCTGGAGTATACAGCTGTTTCGAGAAAGGTTGTTGGATGAAAGCGTCAAGCCTATGCGACAAGTCCAACTTGTAGTCTTGGTATTCATTGGACTGATTTTGCATATGGGAATGGAGGAAATCTAAAAAGTATTAGTATTAGCAAGGCCGCACACATTAGACTTTCCACTCACGAGACCATTTTTCCGTAGCTTTTCTCTCACTTTCACATGACTTCTAGTTGAATATTCTTTTACAATTCGGTGTGGCAAAAAGAACCTTGTTTCCACACGTTGAAAAAGGTTGTTATGTCTGATTGATATTAAGCGTGTGCAGCAGCTTTCTACCCCTAACCATACTCACTTTCGGGGTTTTCAGTGCACTTTAACCCTTTATCCTCACAACCTTTCTCGAAACAGCTGTATTGTATCATACCTTCCTAAGGAAGTGCTACAGGCGGAGATTTAAGAGAAATGAGAGAAAACAGAAAGTACACCGTGTACCGTTAAAACAAATCTTTGTGAAAGCGCCGTCGAAAAATTCCCCATTTTTATCATCCAATTAAAGAATCGGCGCAAGCACTCCAGCGTTACTCTGAAAGTTCTGACAACGTTGCAATTAGTTGCTAAGCAACTTCGAGCTCAGTCTACTCTCAGACACCGCTGTTATAGACCGAAACTCAAACCTTTAGTTTTAATTATAACTGAGAAGAAAGTGTAATATTACTTTTGAAAGAAAAGCCGACAACCATGGAGTTACAATTATCGAATGATCGATTCAGTGTCAGCATGCCGATGCTTCTTCTTCTATAGGAATGAAATTTACCAAGATGGCAACAAAACTTACTACAACCAAAGAGACGCTGGAAACTTCTCCGAAAACGGTTGCGATAGCTTGGAGATATCAGCGTATACAAACATGGATTTATAACACTGTTTGCATGAGCGAACCAGAAGAAAAACACCTCTACTTCCGGTGGGATTTTACTATATATGTCTGTGCGAAAGAACACTAAGTAGTGCATCACATGAGCAGGAAACCAGCAGATGGCAAAAACCACAACGATAAAAACTAAAGCTTTGACAATTCTGCGCTTCTCCCTCTCTGTTGACCTGAACCTGGCTTTGCTCACGTTACCAGGAATTTTTCTTTGCCAGAGTTTTCTTGCAATGAGGGTGTAAAGGACCGCTAGAATTACAAGGGGGATACAGTAGAGTACAATGAAAGTCATTAAATAGTACATTTGTGGCGAGCTGTGATTGTCAAATGGTGCAAAGGATCGCACGCAGTAATGAGTATTATTTTTGATGTAAATATCATTTGCCATCATAAATGGAACGGCGTATCCTGCAGAACTCATCCAGATGACAGCTGTCATAAACTTGACTTTTCGAAAGACGTGTCCTCTCATCGGATAGCAGATGGCATAAAAGCGATCGAGCGAGACCAACAAGACTGTGAAAATTGAGGCAGGTATCGATATTTGATAGGAGAAATGGACAAATTTGCAAGTGACTTGTCCAATCACTCCCCCAATCCATTTCACTCCAGCATGAATGTATATTACCATATAAGGCATGGCAAATACTGTAACCAGAAGGTCTGCAAGCGCCATATTGGCAATTAGCATGTTTGCGGCACGATTCCCCGCCTTTTTTCTCAACGCCAGGTACAGGCCAAAACCATTTCCCGCCAAACCGCAAGCGATGGTTGTGGCATAAACGATTGTTATGAGAAACTTGCTTGTATTGGCAAAAATCTCTGTGGAGTCGCTTCCTGTTAGACACCAAAGTAATAATTAAAATGGTGTTCAATTTTGTAAATTTAAGAAAAAGAACAAAACAATAACACCTAAATAAGTTTCAATTAGTTTCTCTCAACATAAAAATTGCTTTGATACATCGCAATTTTTACTGCTCGTAGATGCTTCACATTTATTTCTGACAATGCATGAAAAATCAGGCGGTAATAAATGAAACATAATTAGCAGTCTATATATCAAGTTTTTCTGCCAGGCAGTAAATGTTCAAAATGAGGCTGCCGAATATTGTTCTCACTGTAAAATCTTTAGCGTGCAACATTTCATTTTCAAGCCACTTGACGACTTAGTGATCTTGCTTTTTGCTTGGTTCTTTCTCAAACGATTTTCATATTTTTAAAGGAATTGCAAACAAGACTAACCCAATCTGAATGTTAAATTATTTAAAGGAATTTCAAAGCAACATAAATCTCGAAATGATGTGAAGTTTATATGAAATAATTCATATATGAACTGCGGTTGTAGATGAAAGTGAAGAATGATCATCGCAGTAAATTTTCCAATTGAAGCC